ACATAAGAGCAGGTTGTGGAGGTGGAAGTTCCCTCCTCAGAGAGGTGCCAGGCGGCGGGGGGACAGTGGTGGTGAGGGGTCCACCTGGATGCACGACATAAGGGGGTACGATTCCCACAGGTAACTGAAAAACAACAGCAGAACCAACTAAAGGTTGGCTTGCTTCTTAGCATCACTACAAGCCAGTGATGTTAAAGGCTATCCTGTTGAAACAGGCCTCCCAGTCGGGCCGCTCCCACGCCTCTCCTGGCTTTGCTACTGCTCCTCCTTTGGATGTGGTCCAAAAGGACGGGGGTGACTGGAGACAGCCGGCCAGTGCAGGGCAGCAGGATCCCGGGCTGGGAAACTTCTCAATGGAATTATCTAGAGCCCGACGGGAAACTCCATCTGATGCCATCTGCGCTTCTAGGGTGCAGACGGCATTCAGGCTGTGGGAATGCAGTCTGCCTCTCAGGAAAGCGCCCTTGTGTTTGATCCCATTCTGGAAGACACTCTCAATAGGTATATCCCTTTCCCTCTTCCCGGCATAACTGAGTCCTGGCCTCACCTTGGATGTCGAGCTGGATGATCTGTTGGGCTCGGTACAAGGAGGTTGTGATCTCGCAGACGTAGGTCCCCTCATCCTTCAGAGTGAGGCTGGGTAGGGTGAGGGAGGCGTCCCCAGCCATGAGCAGCTGCTGAGGCTCCAGGGTGGCACCCTCCCGCTTGGCCTGCCCCTGCCCCTGCCCCATGATCCAGCAGTACACCAGGTGGCCACTGCCCTGATGCTGCAGCCGCCACTCCACGCTGGTGATGCCCAAGCCTGGTGCCACAGAGAAGCCACAGTGCAGGGAGGCTGAGGACCCCAGCAGGAGATTCAGGGATGGGGTCTGTGTTGTCACCTGGAACTCCACTGTGGGAGAAAGAGGGGTGATTGTGGGCCGCTCCCTCCTTGAGGCCACCTGATCTCTCAGGCTCGGGGTGTGCTGAGAGGCAGCATGCATGCGTGGTACTCTTAACCATTTTGGAGTCACTTACCCCTTGCACAATCTGATGAAAGTTACGGACCAGGCAAATACATATGCAAAATTATGGCTTACTGGGACTTCCCTGGTGGTCCAGTGGTAAAGAATCCACCTTCCAGTGCAGGGGACGCAGGTTCGATCCCTGGTCGGGGAACTAAGATCCCACATACTGTAGGGCAACTAAGCCCGCGTGCCACAACTACAGAGCTCGTGTGCTTCAATGAGAGAGCCTGAGTGCTGCAAACTACAGAGCCCACATGCCCTGAAGCCCACACGCCACTACTAGAGACAGAAAACCTGCACGCCGCAACTTGAGAGAAGCCCACGCACCACAACGAAGATCCCGCATGCCTCAACGAAGGCCCCGCATCCTGCAACTAAGACCCAATGCAGCCAAAAAAATAAAAGAAAAAATTTATATAAAAAAAAATTATGGGTTACTGTTGACCCTCAGGTTAAGAACTACTGGAGGGGCTTCCCTGGTGGCTCAGTGGTTAAGAATCCGCCTGCCAATGCAGGGAACATGGGTTCGAGCCCTGGTCCGGGAAGATCCCTCATGACGCGGAGCAACTAAGCCCGCGCGCCACAACTATTGAGCCTGCACTCTAGAGCCCGCGAGCCACAACTACTGAGCCTGCACGCCTAGAGCCCATGCTCCGCAACAAAAGAAGCCACCTCAATGAGAAGCCACCACAATGAGAAGGCCCTGCTCGCCGCAACTAAAAGAAAGCCTGCACGTAGCAACGAAGATCCAACGCAGACAAAAATAAATAAATTAAAAAAAAAAAAAAGAGCTACTGGAGTTGTAGTCAGCTTTCAGAAGCCCGGCTCTTCCACTTAACTCCCTCTGCGGCCTTGGGCAAGCCCCTCAGTGTTGCCGAGCTCATCTGCCTAGAGCAAGGCTGCTGAGGAGACTAAAGGAGACAGAGCTTAAACGAGCACACAGTGGTGGTGTCTGAGCCAAACGTGCTGAACCCCAGTCTAGTGAGGAAAACAATCGTACAGATCCAAATGCTGGGACATCTACAAGACAGTGGCCCGGCCTCGAAATGGTTCAGGCTCTGAAGACTGTTCTGGAAGTAAAGGAGGCTGAAGGGACAGGACAACTAAATACAATGCCCAATCCTTGTCTGAATCCTGGACTTCAAAAACCAAACCAAACCCCCCAACGCTATAAAGAACATTACAAGGGCAATTGGAGAAGTTTGAATTTGGACTTCATATTTGATAGCAGTATTGCATCAATTTTAAAATGCCTTAAGTACGACAATCAGGGGCGGATCCAGCCATGGTGGGGGAGGTGAGGATGGTCCGCCCTGGCAGGCAGGCAGGCAGGAGTGTTTGATCACTGACATGGTTCAGAACTGCCAGTGTAGGCTGATGGTGAGGATACGTTCGTCCGTTTGCACGCTGCACCCCCCCTTACTGCCCGAACCCCGGGTAGACCACTCCCCACCTCGGGTTGCTGCCGAGGCGATGGTTTTATGATTATGGAGAACATTCATGTCTTTGGTTATAAGCTAACACATGCTATCCATGGAAGCATTTGGGATGGAGTGTAGAGATGTCTGCAGTTTACTTTCAATTAGTTAAGCGGAGGGGAAATGGAGAGAAGATGAGGGAGGGGGAAAGGATGTGCAACATGTTAACAACTGGTGAATCCAGGTGCACGGTATACAGGTGTTTATTATTCTTTCACCTTTTTTTGTAGGTTTGAAATATCCCAAAATAAATGGGGGCAATGCCTAGCTATGCTAGGACTATGGTTGACACTGGACAGACATGAGGACCCCTTTTTTCATGTAGCAGGATAAATTTAGGTTGGACCACAGAATAATTTGAGTGTTCTGGAGCTTTCTAAGGATAGAAGCGTAGGCCCCTAAACTTCTCTGGATGTGGTTGTCTTTTCTTGGAGGCAAAATATTGGATTCCATGAACTCTGGAGAAACCTATCATCATGTTCTCAATTTTCTGTGCCCTCTGAGACGTGCAAGGTTGGAGAGAGCAAGGACCAGGTTCTACTGATAGGAGATAAGGAACAAACTCTGCGGGCCTGTGCTCTCCTCTCTCATCTTGGCCAGGCTAGCTGTTCCCTGGGAGGAGCTGGCGCTCTGCTCACTGAGACAGCTGTGGACAGCATACACAAATAGAGCATCACATGTCTTATGTCCCCAAGTCACCTGGCCAGGTGAAAATTATCCCCATTTGGGGTCTTTAGGAAGAAAAGACTGAGGCCTAGGGGACACCCTGAGATAACCACTGTGCACGGAGGTGGACTTGTCCCCTTCCTTCTCCTACTACTCCCCCATTTCTGACTCCTTTAAAAAAATCAAAACTTTCTTTCTGCTACTTTTCATTTTCTCACCTTCAGTCCGCACAGTCCCCTGGGGGCTCAGGGGCAGTTTCAGGATGGGATGCAAGACAGCCCCATTCTCAGCATCCCCAAGAGTCTTCATCACCATGGTGATACTAGGTCCCTCTCCAGACACTAGCACGTTGGTGATGAACCAGGCTGCCGTCTCCACCGTGGCCTTTGGCCTGGCCTGGAGAAAATAGCGGGAGATCTCACAGGTCATCTCTTTCCCGCTGCAGTCAGCATGGAGCAAGGCCTCGGCCTGGGGAATCTGTATCAGGTTCACTGGGGGAGAAGACGGCAGCACAGAGATGGAGCTGGATAGACAACACCTGGGCTGATGGGAAGCAGGTGTGGGTGGCTGTCCTTGGGAACTGGGCTCAGGAACTGGAAGGAGCCCAGAAGGACTGGGACACAGGGTGGAGGGCTCTTACCTGAGGCCTCGAAGGTAATGAGTGGGTGGTCCTCGGCCAGTGTGCCCCCTTGGAAATCCGTGAGGCCTTCCAGGGAGCCGTCGTCCGGCACTGGCACCTGCTTCAGCACCAACAAGGCCTTCACCATGTTCTCACGGCTGGCGAAACCTCCACGGTGCCCACCTTCTCCCATCAGGAAGCAGTCCAAGATCAGGTCCACTGCCCGCCACTGCCTTCCTACTGCAGGGAACAGGCAGGGGTGAGCACCCTCTTGCCCAGAAGGTTACTTCTATACTTGTCGAGTCATCAAGGGGTAATCTTCCCCGTTCCCAGCTGCCTCTGCGGCCAGCTCTGATCCTGTTTTACCCAGAACCAGCTTTCTGCGAAGGACCTGCTTCTCCAGGTACATACTTTTTGGTGTGAATTATTTAAAGTCCTGATTTCCCCTTGCTCAGAGGGATTTAAGAAGCTTATTTCCACCTATCAATGGAAAGCTATCTCTTCAAAGGAATTCTCAGCAAAAGCATATAAATGAACAAAACTGCATTGGGAGAGGAGACGGGCTTGGTTGCTAGGGCGTCGGCAGCCTCTCAACTTCCCAGTCAGCCCCCAGGGTCTGCTCGCTCTGTGCTTTTACAGGTGTTCTTCCCCTCCCCCACCTCTGGGGAGCACCTACCCCCCCCTTCCGTGATCTCCTAGCTAGGGGCCCCCCTTCCTCTCCTGAAGGTGTCCGCTCCCAGGCCAGCTCCCTCTCCTGTAGGACAGCGGGCCCACCACATGCACCGAGGCGGCCCCTCATTCCTTCGTTTGGCCCTTTCCCCAGAGTTCTCAGTCTCTCTCCCCGGCACAACTGGTTCCTTCCGTTACCAGCCGCCCAATTTTCCGCCTGTTGGGCTTAGAAGGCGATTGGAAGCCATTCCCGGCCCCTTTCCCCTTCTGCGACCTCGGGTAGTGTGGCTACCTGATGCTTCTTTAGCCCGACACGCCCCACCAGCCAGCCCCCGACTCACCGGCGTCTGCTGCCCCGGAGAGAGCCAAGCAGACCAGCAAGCACCACCCCTCGGAGCCCATGGGGGCTGCTCTCAGGCCCTCCTCCCCCGCCGCCCCTCCTCGTGCCCCGCGCCGGCCAGGTCCGGGCTGGAGAAGGGGCTCCAAACACGCCTGCCTGGCCGACCGCCTGGCCCCGTCAGTCCTCTCCGCCTACTTGGCTTTCGCTTTCACTTTGAGGAAGCGTCACCGAGGCTGCCTTGGCCTCTGGCTGAAGCCATTGGTGCTGGAGCCAGAGCTTGGTCACTGTTCTTTCTTTCCACCTTCTCCCCCGCAAAAAAAAAAATCCCCCGGTGATTTCAGGACCTGACTTCACCGCGTGCGCCCTTTTGTCCTTTTGCTCCCGACCAGCCCCAAGAAAGTCGAGATATGGGAAGGGAGGCAGGGTGGAGGAAGGGAGGGACTGACAACAGACTCAGCTCCCCGGTAGCCGGGACCTTTACCCACTTTCTGTGGGCGCCCTACCTGCCCGCCCCCGCCCCAACCCCAACCCGCGTGGGCCCCAGCGCGCCTGCGCGTGAGGAAGCTCCGCCCTCAGATCGCGGGTCTGCGAGGGGGGATGGGCGTGGCCTGCGTGGGGAGACTGAAATCTCAGAGCTGGAAAGCTGCAGGCGTTGAGGTCTGTCTCTTTATTTCGGCGAGTTTCTAGGTCAGCGGTACACCACGTGGGCCTACCGTAGGCGGAAGTATGTCTTCCACCTGGAGCCCTAGCCCTCTTGCAGCACAGGGGTGCAGCTGACACACTTGGGCTCCCGCTTCCCGCCCTCCACCTCGTTCCCCTGGGTCCTCGCCACTGCCAGTCTCGAAAAGGCACACAGGACAGTTTCCCAAGTCGGCACACACGAAAGGGTCCCGATAAGAGGACAGTGCTGAAATTGGAGGTGCCGACTCTCGATCCCCCTGGATGGCGGGTGGGTTGAGATGGAGGCTAGGACTTGACTGCAGTGACGGCCCCCCTCCGCCGAGCGCTGGCTCAGGGGTAGGAAGCGGGCTCTGGTTTTCGGTAATCCTCCTGAATGGGGATGGCACTGCCCTCTTCCTCCCTGGGGCAGCTGTAAGGACAAGGCTCTGCAGGCGCCACTGGACTTTCTCTTGTGTCTGAAGAGGGAGAATCAGATGAGTGTTGATCGGCGGTGGAGGATGGGTGAAGGAAGAGGTGAGCAAAGGCGGGCTGTCAGAAGGGCCCCAGCTCAGAGGAGGGTAAGAGAGGCCACAGGGTGCTAAAGATGGAGCTGGAGAGATTCAGTGAGGTTCCAGATTGGGAGGCAAAGCCGAGATGGTGGGGTGGGGTGCAGAAACCTGAATTTTGTCTCTTACTTAATCTATATTTTCTTTGTTGATGGAGGAACAGGGCTCCGACTGTGGTGAAAGCAAGAAACATTCCAGAGAGGAGCACAAAGATGCGGATGCAATCCGCGCTGCACAGGGACCTTTGGGCTGTGATGGGATGGGCAGGGGTCACAAGGGGGTTTGGGGGAGGGCCTAGCCGTTGACTCCCCTCAGCCCAGCCCTCTGTCACCCCTGCCTCTCCCCTTTCCCCACCTTCCTCCCCTGCCCCCACCATTGGACCATGTCCTTTCCTAATCCCTGGACTCTGCTTCTCCCTCTTCTTACCCCTGTTCCTAGGAGCTTTCTGGCTGGCTTCCCTCCTGGACCCTCCTGTGTGCATTCTCTCTCTCAGGGTGGGGAGTGGGGAGAAAACTCACGTGACCAGTGGGTAGAGAGAGTTGGGGCAGGCAGCCACCTGGAATCAGCCAGAGTCCGCATATGCTGGCCTGTCCTGGCCTCTGGTATCTCTGGAAAAACAGAGACAAGATGGGCAGCCGCAGGGGGCCCCAGAGGGCACAAGGATAGGCTGAAGGCCTAAGCGAGCCTGGGGGAGATGCGAAGGCCGAGACAGGCGGACGAGGCAACGTATGTGGGGCTGGGCATGGGAGAGGCGGTGCTGGTTGGGGTGTGACCCTTACCCCCAATGACCAGACGAAGGGTTGCCTAGAACTTACCTTCAGCATAAGGTGAGTGGGAGGGTTGTGGGTGTGGGCCTGGGGCCTGGGCTGGACCAACACACTCTGTACACTCCTTGTCCCTGCACTGCCAGCCCTCGGGGCAGGCACACTCCGAGTTGGCGGTGAGGGAGCAGTTTCGAATGAGAAGACCTGGCGACAGAGGAGAGGGAGGGAACACACAGGGTCCACTGGCTTAATCCCCGCCCTCGCCTCCCAGGCCCGCCCCTCCCCCACTGTCACCCAGTGCCTTTGCCATTTGTGTTACTGTTATTCAAGAAAAACTCGGACCTTTTAGAAAATTCACGGTTCAGAAGTAGAAACAGCTCACATGATTTTTCCTCTCACTCCCTGATGCTTTTAGAACTTATTGAAGTATACTTATAGAGAGGCATACATGTCACAAGTGTACAGCTTGAGAACTGGGACAAATCGGACTCACAGGTGTAACCAGCACCAGATTAAGAAACAAGATGACCAGTCGTGTTCCTTTTTAGTCACTAACACCGTCCCCACCAAGAATAGCTACTGACTTCCTAACACCACAAGTTGGTTTTGCCAGTTTTTGAAGTATATGCATGAATCATGCGTGTGTTCTCGTTCGTGCCTGGTTGCTTTTACTCAGCTCTTTGTGAGATTAATCCAGTGTTGAGTGTGATTGCAAATCGTTCATTCTCACTGCCATCTAATGTTCCCCTGTGTGAATACAACACCATTTATTCATCCGTTCCACTGTTGGTGTGCATTTGGGTAGTTTCCAGTTTTTAGCAATTGGAAATGGTGCTGCTGTGGTCCCCAATAGGTTTTTAACTTTACTGATATCCTTTGCCTCTAAAATATAATTTGTATTCAAGTGTAGAGGTCGGGTGCTGGGTGGCTGCCAATCGGTGATACTGGGGGAGGTAGGTAGGAAGGGCGCCGCATGGGTTTGGGTTCATGGGTGTTTGGGGGTGAGAAGAGAAGTGTGACTCTGGGGAAGGTGGCACCCGGATGTGGGCCAGGCCTGAGCGGGAGCCTGGTGGGGCAGGGTGCACTCATGAGAACCCAGGGAGAGGAGCTCTGACAGGTGGGAGAGAGGTGCAGAAAGGGACGTCTGAGGATACCAAAGACCACCAGCAACCCTCCCAATTTCTTTAGTGTGCGCCTTTTGTCAGGAAAGGGTGTAAATTCCTTCTCATCTTTATGCCCCTGTGGCATCTCCTTTCTGAATTCTGACTCATGGTTGCTACTAGAACTTGGTTTCCTTGTGGCTCACCAGGAATTGTGAGCCAGCCTGGATAAGGATCTGCACAGGAAGGGCAGTGATGGAGGAGGGAACAGTGGTGGTGGAGACGGGAACAGGTAGGGAAGGTGAAGATCAGCGAGGGTATCTGCCCAAAGGGATGGGAAGGGTTAAAGAAGGGGCTGGGATTGGTTAAAAAATGAGTGAAGTGCCATTGTTTTCAATGGAGTCTCCAGAAACCTGGGAGTTCTCTTCGCCATGTATAACCTGTACACAGAATTCCATGCTGATTTCAGGCACTTGTCCATCTTACAGATGGGAATACTGAGGTCCAAGAGGACCAAACCCATTCAGCCTCTTTCCAGTGCCCTGGAGTCCTGCAGCCAGGGGCTGCCTGAGTGCTTCAGAGATCTGTGGGCTGAATCTCACAGAGGAAGATCGTGGGTTGGGCTGGTCTGGAGCAGAGTGGAGGGAGCTCAGACTGGCTCAATATTAGGAAAAAGCCTTCCACTGGGGCCTGCAGAGTGAGTTGGGGAGGCTTTGACTAAAAAAAAAAAATCCCCATCTTGCCCAGGTTGTTGCCAAGAAGAGAGAAGCATCCATGAACAATCATATCTGTAAGTTAAGTAGACTGAGGAATACCTCTTGTGTATTTCATATGTTGCCCTTTGACTGATTTGCAGCAACAAACCCTTGTATTTATTTTCAAGAATACAGTATTAAAAGGCCTAGTCAGACTCAATGCATTTACAGGCGAGTAATGTGGTTCAGCTAAATCGTCCTCAAAAGTGTCCTGCTGGAGAATATTTGTTCAAAGGGGCCACTTTAGATCTGTTGATCTATGTACACTTGTACATACATAGTTTCTAAAATTCTAGCTAAAACAGAGAAATGATGAAAGTATTCATAACACAGCTGCTATTTCATTTCTTAGTTTTAAAAAAGATGTAATTACAAAATACATAAAGACACAAGCCACACACACATTCATTTTCCTGAATTGGCTTTTGGACAAAAAGAGGGTGTTATCCACTGACTGGTATTGTTATGTCCTTAGAAAGGTGTATTCCAAGTTCCAGACAAATGTGCACTCAGAATACGGCCCGTTCATCAGTGGGGAGAGGCTTGTCTAAGATCTTGGCTCCTACAGCAACTGCCTACTTTGTATTGTCTTGATCCTAGCCATAGACCCCTTCTCAGCAGACCCTCAAATTCTGCTTGCCCCTTCCCTGAATCACTTCACAGCTATCCCTACCACATCAACACACACCGCCCAGGGCGCCCCGTTTCCCACCATGAGCTCCACTTGCCGTAGCCTTGAAGCAACTGAAGCTCCTACTTGCCCCCTCTTTGCTTCTCCATACCCACTTTGCTCCCCCAAATGCTTGCCCATCTCACCAGAGTTACAGTGCCGGCAGCTCTCACAGTGGGGCCGGGTATGGTGGTCTGGCGAGAAGGAGACCCCCGGTGTACACGGATCGCACTGAGTAGCCTTTTCATGCTGGTCACATTCCTTCACCAGGAACGTTCCTGTGAGCAGAGGTCCAGGGTCAAGGCGCAAGGAAGGCCGCTCCCTCACCCTCTTCAAGGTGCTGCCTCTTGGCCTCTGCAGGATTCTGCTCCTTGCTTGAGCTCAGACTCCCTCTCTACGTCCCTCCACCCCAAGCCTGGTCCTCTCTCTCCATACTCAGCTAGACCCTGGCAAGGCCTCCTCTTACCTGGCTCGCACATCTGGCAGCACCGTTCTCCCTGAGCCAGGTAATGCTTTTCTGGACACCTCGTGGAGGCTGGGGTCACTG